TAATTATAGGTTTATCTGGATGCTTCTCAATATGAAAATAGTTAAAACACAGAATTACAAACTCAACTAAAAACTGAAGGTGTCTCTTGAGTCATAAAGTAAGTGTGTGCACTGTATTTTTAATTTCCGGGCAAATTTAGGATAATATCTAAGCTCAAACATTGTAACATTAGGCCTGACTTTTTTCTCTATTGATCCTTAAACACAGACAATGACTTTTTCTCCCCAATTAAGCCCTGAGAAGAAGAAAAAATGCAGGTGAAACCTGTGGATTCCCTCCTTTCCAGTTTGGATTATGACCAAAAGCTGGGAGTTGATAACTAAATTCAACACCACGGAACAAGGCAGTCAGCTTGCAGACAGATTAGAGCAATATTAATGCGTCCTTATCGCTAGCCTCGAAGTTTCCGGGTATTTGTTAAACATTAAAAGATTTGAAAGGAGTTTTAAAAAATAGTTTTTTCTTTAAGGTTTAAAACGAACAAAGTCGCAGCTGAAGAAAGTTGGTAATTTATGTCAATATTTAAACTGCCCAAACAATAAGGAAATCCGCGGCATTTAGGAATGTACTCATCCTTCATGCAGTGCAGCAAAAACAGTCCATGTGTGGACTTTGATTATCAGTGCAGCTTTTATCACTGGCAGTTCTTATGTTGCTCTTGAGTCCAATTAACAAGATCACTAAGCAAATCTGAAAAACCACAGAAAGTGTGCCGAACCTAATCCACAAAGATCTGTTTCGGGATCTAGCAGCAAAGTGTTGGACTGCTTGCTGACTTTTCTACTTCCTCTGATGTAGTGCAACTCCATGAGCCTGATTGAAAAGCCTGCAGCCAGTCTGACAGAAAACAGCCTCCCGGAGTTTATCATGACAAAAAAATCTAGGTTTAGGAATTTAGAATGAAGGTAAAATAAGACACATAGTGCAGACTTAAAAATAAAAAAAGCAAAAGTAACAAATGTAGGGACTAAAAAAGTAACTGTAAGTAAATGTAAAACTTAAAATCATTGAAAGCCTTTAAAAAAAAGGATGCTTTAAGACACGACTTAAAGGAAGTGGCTGACTGCAACAGATCTGATTTCCTCAGGCACCTTGTTGCAAATGCTCTGTCCTCTTTAGGTTTTAGCTGGACGCCTAGAACAAATAAAAGACCTCTGCCTGCGGATTTAAAGGTACGTGCTGCACATTCTAATAAGAGGTGAACTCTTAAAATCAATTAAAAAACATTCTGGGAGAACATGTAAACATGCCTAAACAGGAGTGATACAATGCCATCTCTTTGGTCTAGTTAAAATCCTGGCAGTCTGCAGTCATTCAATAGATTTATTTGGCTCAGGCAAATAAACCGCCTGTTGCAGTAACCTCAGTGTGAGGAAATAAAAGCATGAAAAACACTTTGCAAAGGCAGCCATTCAGAGAGCTCAGTGTACCGCGGAGGGTCAGATGATCTACGAGGCCGATATATCTGTGTGTGATCAGCATAAAATTTTAAACATAACAGAGACTATAAGGAGAATAATTATATGAAGAAGAAGAAGATTGGACCTAAAATGGGCTCCTGCGGAGACACAGAACTTCCTTTTTGACAAATTTGACTTATTGCTAAACCCTGCATGCTGTCACTATAAAAAATGCTTTTGTCTGCCTCGATGACCATTTACCATTTATTATTATTTATTCAAACTTGTCAAGTGCCAGTAGAGACAGAAGTAAGGACAGCATGCAGTATGTTAAAGACTCAGAAGCCTGAATTTTCTGGCTGATGGTTGTAAAAGTATAATCAACTGAAATGCACACATCTGGCAGAACCCCTGAAATTAACAGCAGGACAAATAAAACAATGAAACGCAAGGTAATAACTTTAGTTGTGACGTTGATATAAAAGATAATGTTTCAAAAATAACTAAACAAGTAAATGCACAGAGTTGTTTCAAGGGAGCTTAAAGTGGAAGGTACCTCTGTACGCTCCTATTGTTGCTAATATGCCAAAAGATGGGAAAGGTGTATATACAGGATGCAAAGTCCCCTTAAAAAGCACTCAGTCACAACAATATTGAATTGTGAGTTCTACACTAATCAAACATAAAACAGATCATATTTATATAGCCCTCCTTAAATGTAAGTGGATGCTGCCCTCATATAATAATGGTCCAGATTCTTCTTTTAGTGATGTTTAAACCATGACTGTAATGAGAGCAGGTGTAGAAATGTTCTCTGGTCTGTGCAGAAAAACAAATTAACATTATATGACTTGATTATTATTGTACTGGCACTATAACATCAAAATGCAGTGCAATGGCGTTTCCAAGGTAATCTTGATAGAATAAAAGTGTGATTTTTATAGCACTAATAGTAAATATTAGTTTGTTATGTAAGTTATATTCAACATTTGCACTGTTTTCAGGATGCATGTTGTTATCTTATCAGTATGACTAAATTGTACTGGCAGAACAGCCTTATTACAATTGGAGGCACTTCATCCATAAAGCTGGGTGCTGATTGTTTAGAGGTCTTTACAGTGGGTTTTCTCTCAAATTGCACCTTTAATGAGTAATGATTCATCACAAAGTGTGACCAACAAATAAGGATTTTGTGAGAGTGACAGAACATCTAAATCCATACACAGTTTTTATCAGTTGGTCTCTTTTGGTGTCAAATATTAATCCGGTCCATGTACAAGTCAGCTCTTCCGTTCATTATTGGAAAAAAGAGGTTGGCTCTTTAAAACCTTTGAGCTTTTCATTACAGAACAGTCATAAAAACAGTACAGACGCAATGTTCAGCTCAGTCTTGTTCTTTAATTTCAGGCAGTAAAAAAAAAAAAAAAAAAAACAGCAGCAAAGCGACTCACTCATTAACTCAAATATCTATTAGCTAATCACATGGGACCAACTCAGTGCATTTAGGCATGTAGATGGGTGTAGATGGGGTCATGATGCCCTGCAGAAGTTCAAACTGAGCAGCGGAACAGGGGAAGAAAAGATGATTTAAGAAACTTTCAACATCTCATGGTTGTTGGTGCTAAATGGACTGGCATGAGTATTTCAGAACCTGATGATATCCTGGGATTTTCCTCACACAATCATCTCTTAGGCTCAGAGAGAGAGAGAGAAACTATTCAGCAAGAAGTAGTTCTTTGGGTGAAAATGCAAGAACATGTTGTGTGGTCATGTGGATGGGCATTAATTACCCCTCCCTTACTGAAACACCATAGTATTCATAATGAAGATCACTCTGACTCATCCCACCTTAGCACCCCCCAGCAACCCAACCGCCCTTTATTTCCCCTTCTCTTCTTGTCATTATTATTATTATTATTACCTGCCAATGAGTTCTCTCTACTCACATAGTTCCACAGTTACCAGATCTCAATCCAATAGAGCTCCTTTGACATGTGGTGGAGCAAGATAGTAATTTCATGGATGTGCAGCAAACAAAGCAGCAGAAACCGTGTGATCATGTCAGTCTGAACCAAAAATCTGAGGAATATTTCCAACACGAATCCATGTCATAAATAATTAAGGCAGTTCTGAAGGCGGCAAACCTGATAAAGGTGTCAGAGGATGTATAATGATTATGGAAATCTAAAATTCTAACATTTGGATTGTTATTTTGTTAGATTAAACTTAGTTGAATGCAGAACCTTTCATTACTATTTTAATTTCAAGAAGCCTGAAATTCTTGCATACAGGATTTGGAAAACACAAACAATGATTATCTGTACGTGTGCTTTCTAACCAAACTCCCTTCATAAATCATTCAGTAAACCCAATAAATAAAAAACACTAATCTGTGTGGATGCTATATTATGTCTATTGCTTTAATGATTAACTGCCTTTATTATTAAAACTCCTAAGCTGTACATGAACATAGAAAGGTCACCCAGTGTTTTTGCTTTGGTTGCTTCTCTTGTTTTAATTACTACATTTGCCCTTTTTTGTTTTCATCATGTTTAATACCAGAACGTTCCTCAGTAACATTTAGTCAGATTAGACCAACATGATCATCTATGATCAATAGAAGTGTTCGTCTTTAACAGACGTTTTATGCCTCAATCTCTTATGAACTTCCTATATGAACTGCAGTAATAAGTAATTTATAAAACAACCGGGAGTTTGCAGTGATGCCAGTGTGCTGTGTAAGACTGATATGTGAGTGATATATGAATATTAATCGCAGTCGAGTTGCTGTGTATATTGATGGTGTTTTCGAGTCATGGGAGGTATTTATCTTCATTTAAGACAAAGAACTTTTGTGATAAAGTCTTTACAAAGATTCACTGGGATTCCTTGAAAATCACCAACCACTGTTTGTTAAATGTCCCAGATGGAAGTGTTTGTGTTTAAAGGCAAAGTTGTGGTTGCCATTTTAAGATAACATGGTTTACAATTTAAATGCTATTCTTAAACAACACACTTCCCAGCGTTTTGCCTTTTTTTTTAAAAAAAAAACAAAAAAAACAATTATATTAAAAAAAGTGTAAAAAGTGGAAGAAACTAGACAGCTGTTGACATCTCATCGCAATGTCGCAATTGAACAAGAAAATCCTGGTTGTCAGAACTTTTGCAAAGTCAGCAGCAACAGTCACAAGCTTTTAATCCACTGAATGATTTCATTGTTTTAAGATGTTGAGGTTTTTTTTCAAGTTGTTCTTTGTTACAGGGCAGATGCAGGAGTATGGGTTCCTCCTATCCTATTCTGACACATGCAACCTGCTGACGATTTTTGTCAAAATCGATGCATTTTAGGTTAAAACACCTCATCTCTCGCTGTGCTGTTTGACATCAACTGACATCAACTCCATTCTTTGTTTAATGAATCAGTTATTAAAATTTTGAATCATTCAGAAATTAATCTCAGGTGAAACTTACACAGACATTGACCTTTGGTTAAGTTACTGGAACTGCACTCCTTCACATGATAAAGTCTCTCTATTGTTTGGCTGTCCGTCTCCAGTCCCTCCCCCTTGTTCTGCTTTTACAGCTACTTTTTGCTCTTTCCCAACAGTGTCAGCTGCTTCTCTGTCAAGGATGTTGATCTCTTTGAGTTAATGTTTGATATGCTACCAGAGATATAGGCAGAAAATTGCACTGATTTTATTCTCTTTACCACAGTGACTTTCTGTGGAGCAGACCTCTACTGTTAACCCACCTGAGCTCAGTTTTCAGCTCCACAGCTGCCCTGTGCCTCTTCTTCATACTGACTAGTGTTTGTGTTAGCATTGACCTACCTGCAACACTTAGAAAGAGTTTATTTCAGTTGTTAGTTCATTTTTTGAGAGCATCATGTATAACTGGGAGAGAGTGCTGCATCTTCTGTGGCACCACAGGAACTATATCATCATAATCGTCACGCCGCTTGTATTCCTTCCTCTGCCTCTCGTCTATCCTTCATCGGTGAGTGTGTTTGTGCATGGAGGTAAATTTTATTTGTTTAAAAAAAACAGCTAAAGATTTATATTCACTGACCAGACTAATCTGTACACGTGCAATTTGAGAAGTTTGGCTATAACCCGTTCAGTTAATCTGACACTTGTTCTTAAAGAACAGATCTTGTAATTATTTTTAAATCTATGATTTAAGTGTTTGATCACTGACCTACGCTGATGCCCACCTTTAAAACTATACACTCTCACCTGAGTGAATTTACTTGAAGTGCAGTCAATCACAGTTAAACAGGCTAGGTTTGTCTGTCTGTCTGTAGTGGATAACATAAATGGTGTTTGAATGTTGTTCGAATTCAAGGGCTAAAAAGCTTTTAAAGTCAGGTGTTTTATTCACACTTATTAACATGTCTCTCTTGTTGCAGTTATTGAATCTGCTGAAAACATGTGGACTAATGATGGTTATTTCTAGAAATAAACAAATACTCACACTACAACATTGGTCAATTATCCTCCTGATACCCAGGCTCTTATTTGGGGTTCATTTTTAATCTCCCTGACCTCGGGCCCTGATAAATCTTAAAATCGTTGAAGAGGAAGTTATTACAATGTTGTAACAGCCTCATGTGGTACCAGTTTTCTTTTATAGGACAACACAATAAACACATTGTATAGCAAAGTTAGAAACACTTTGTTGAACAGAATGAAGTTTAAGATGCAAAAAAGCCAAAATTTAATGTCCCCATGTGAGGACGCAGGCCGTCTGGAGAGAAGCATAGATGATATTCTTATATAGTTTTGATGATTTTCTTTAATAGACTGCATTTTTATTTCTATAACAAAACTGGACCCAAATACAGACACAAAGGAACGTGGAACAAAACTTGAATTAACAAAAAGCTAGCCATTTAACATGGCTGATGGAGAAATCTAAAGTAATGCATAAGGCAAACAAAGATGAGAATAAACAATGACCTAAACTGGGGAAACTAAAAATAAACATAAAAAACCCTAAAAATGAAACTTGGCATGGATACAAAGATACCTGGAACATTGAGAGATGGCGCAAAAGACAACAGACGACCTGACCCTGAACAAAGGAGGACAAAGGACTTAAGTAGACAAAAAGATAATGAGAGGATGGGGAACTGGTGGGAACACAGCTGGGACAAATCAGACCCGATGAGACAAGGGGAAACCAAAATAGACACTCTGCATACAGGACAGGGACTCTCACAGTAAAACAGAAAAAAGTATGGAACCCAGACATGAAAACGCGAATGAGACAACATAAGACACACAGACATGAAACGCATAAAGGGCGAGGGAAGCTTAAACACAGGGGTAGAAGAAACAAGGGGAATCTAAAAAACAATGAACTATAACAGCAACTTAAGCATTGTAGAAATGAACTTAGAAAACCTAAAGGACTTAAACATAAATCAAAAACATCAAAATAGGCTAAAACTCAAAACGCCGGGTCAAAAGACCCAAGATCATGACACAAACATAAGCTGCTGTGACATTACATGTCTGCAGGTTATTTTTTGAGTGCACTTAACTCAGTCACCACGTCTCTCACTTTGAAAGACTTGATTTAATCGAAAGATACCGTAGACATCCAGGGCCAGTTTTTTAATATGATTACTAAACACAGTCACCTCAAAATCCCTGCAAGCCATGTAATCTCTTATGTGTTGACATATTGCAACTGAATTCACCACCAAATTGATTTTATCATCTTCATTTTTTGCTGAAAGTGCTGAAGTGGTCTGTTAATGTATGAAGGATAAGAAAAAAAGCGGGCTTTGTGGTGCTCAGCTGAACCTTTGTGCTTTACAGTGCAATTAAAGACACATAAAGATGGTGGGCTCAAACTACACTACCCAATATGACCCCTATTACTGTTAATAAATTAGAGCCTGTGTTACCTGTAATTATCCTGAGCTCTCTATTTAATATGTAGACATGAGATTTAACGCTTAAATACACAGACTTGTAGTAAAAAATATTTCTATAATATACGATGCATTTCATTACACAAAAGCTGCAAGAGAACGGTGTAGCTGTCTAAAATATAACCGTAAAGTAGATAATAACACAAATATTATTTTGTACGTTTTATTATAATGTTTTAGGAAACCTTTTTGAAACTTAAGCTTTATCAGTGTCTTGTCTGCAGTGGAATGTTTTGTGTCGGGAGCTTAAAGAGATTTTATAACTTTTATTGAGGATCATAAAAACTTATCTTGTGAGATGTGAACACGACAAACTGTTTGTTTTATGATCAAGGGTTGCTGCTATCTGCATGTATAGAGACTTAGTGCCTTTTAAAAAGAAAAGATAAGCGAAAGGAAAATTCCCTGTATGCACTTTGCTGCAAACTGTGGGTTGGTCTCTGCTTCTGTGTGCGTCTGCACAAAATGTAATCAAATCACATGTTAGTGATTGTGATGTTATATTTATGTGTCTGTGTTTACAGGAAGCCAGATGTGGCTACGCGATCATCCTCATGGCTCTGTACTGGTGCACAGAGTGCATGCCTCTGGCTGTGACTGCCTTACTGCCAGTCATCCTCTTTCCTATGATGGGCATCATGAAGGGTGGAGATGTAGGGTCATCTTTTTCCACTCCTGTGCTTCATAAGTATATTTTAATAACACAACACAGCAATAATGTAAAACGTTCACTGCTTCAACAGGAAATAATAGCGTGAGTGGCAGCCAGGTGCTGCTAATAAAATGAACTTGATTAACGGATTATCAGCACCTCTAAAAAAGTAGAAGATTTGCCAGTTTGTTGGTCTGGCGCATTGATGTGTTTGTTAACACAATGCCAAGGAGCAATGATTTTAGAGAAGCAATTGTTGCTGCTCGTCAGTGTTTGGAAAGGCCATTTCTGAACAGAGCCGGGCCAAAATCCCCCAGAACTATGTGAGAAACCAACAAAGCTGTGCAGAAAAGGATTACGTCAAGTTATTACTGTTAAAATTGATTCATGGCATTGTGTACTTCACTTCACTCACTGCTTCTTTTTTTAGTTTTGGTTAATTAATAATGACACTGTGTAAAATGTTGTGTGTTGTTGTTTTTCTGAGTTTCTATTTAAATCATTTTAGAACCTGCTCAGGACCACATAACCTTTTATTATTTATTTTATTATCTTATTATATTGTATCTTATACATAAAACTGTCTTTATTTTTAAAACGATTCTATATAAAAATCTGAGTTATTGACACACGTAAGAAAATTTTGCTCCTGCTTATGAATATAAAATGAAAATCAGAGATTTTAAATATAATTTAGGATATATCTTTTTTAATTGCACTGAGAACAGAAAGACCATTTATGAGGAACTTGAATTAAAAAGTGTTGATACAACACTGTGTGTTGCATGAGAAAGCAAATAGGAGTGTCAAGGGAAGAAACTCTTCAGTTTCCAGTTAGTGGAAAATAGAAGTTAAAAAGGACAACAGTTATTGAAAGTGTGATGTGACCCCCAGTCACTTCTTTTACGCCATACTTCTACTGGCATGGTAACACTGCTGATCCTGCTTTTTTGCGTTTATTGCTCATAAAGCGTATTTGATGATACATGTAGGTCCACAGGTTACCTTTGATCCATGTGCTAATGTTAGCGACTGTGTGATCTGTTTCAGGTCAGTATTGAGTATCTGAAAGACTCGAACATGCTGTTCATCGGAGGTCTGCTGGTGGCCATCGCGGTCGAACACTGGAATCTCCATAAACGAATCGCTCTCCGGGTTTTGCTGCTGGTTGGTGTTCGTCCATCGCTGTAAGAGAGCCTTGACATACAAGTCTACAAGTCTTTCAGAATCCGGTCGTTAAGTGATGACGTGACGAATCCTACTTCCGGGCCTAAAGTAGTCTGCGTTTAATATGGCTTTTGTGTTGTTAACATGTTTAATGTTTTGTATTTTCTTCTATTTAATCTCAAAAAGCTCCTAAAACAGTCAGTGATCACTGTTGACCTCCCTCGGCTTTTATTACCGCTAATCATTTATTTAAGCTCAGTTTTTAAAACCTTAGGATGTAACTACAGCCCAGCCCATGCAGCAGTATATGAATGACTAACCTCGTATTGTGGATGGATTATCTCAGTTGTTCTCCTGGCTGAAGTTTGGTCCTTTTACAGCATCCTGCCATGCGATTACATTTGTTCCTGACCACCGAGAACACTCACGTTAACTTTTATCGAGTGGAAAAAAGTTAGCTTGTTTATATTATGCTAACATAGCTGTGTCGCTAGCGGTCACGTAGCACATCATTATATACCAGCTAGCCCAACTTCAGTAACCCTACAAACGTCACTGCTGTTTAGTTTTCTGTCTTCATTTATGTGGAAGTGATAACAGAGCTGTACGTTTTAATTTGTTTCCAAAACCCCGCAGTCAGGACATGCTATATTGTATTTAGATAGAAGCTAGCGAGCTAACTTCCTGCTAACTTCTAACTCCGTTAAATGTCATAAATTCCGTTTTCATGGATGCCTGGATGTTAAACTCAATTGTTACACCTGGTAGAGCAGAACGCTGATCATTTTATTAAAGATGAAAGACTTTAGACAGTTTTTCAACTCTCAGTAATGCCATAGTGATCGTTTGATATATGGACCTGCAGCGGAGTTTAGGCCCAGACACGGCTAGTGACATCAGACCGGATAGGTTCTTTGCATCACCGTTGTTTTGTTTGAATAAATGGCAAAAAATATTCATTTGATGCTTCCCATAATGAGAAACTTTACCTGTGAGGTTAATAAGGATGACAAACAAGCACAAACACTAATGCCATCTAATTTAAGCCAAGTGTGGTCGCCTCTAAAGGAAAAGGAATAAAAGATTAAATTTAATAAAATTAATAAACAATCAATATCAATAAAGATGGCAACAAATAATTGCTCTCTGTTTTCATTCAGAAACATCTATCATTTGTAGACGTAGCTATGTCTTTACTTGCATGGTTCTTGAATTTTGACAGGGTGGTATTGCAAACTGCTCCAGGAGTTCAAGGAGCTGCCCAGTACAGCAACATTTAAAAAACAATGCACCCAGAGCACTAGTGAGGATGTTGAGGATTTTTCACTCATGCCTCCTCGTTATCATCATCACCATTCCCTCTCACGCAGGTTAATGATTGGCTTCATGAGCGTCTCGGCATTCCTGTCCATGTGGATCAGCAACACAGCCACCACAGCCATGATGCTACCCATCGCACACGCTGTGCTACAGCAGCTGAAAGATACAGAGACCCAGGCAAATGAGCGTGATCTCCAGACTCAAGATGCGGACAACCACGCATTTGAGCTGGAAGTTCAAACCAAGCTGGAGACGATAAACGAAAGAGACACACAGGATCCTGTGTGTAAGTAAAAATGCTACATACACATATGGGCTTCTAGAAGAAACCCTTCCAATAACATCTCTGTCTTATTGTGTTTTGATCCAGATGTACATGACACACAGCGAGAGTTCAGAGAAAAAGCCATAGAAGCGAAGTATGACCTTCTCACCAAAGGGATGAGTCTTAGTGTGTGTTACTCTGCCAGCATTGGAGGCACGGCCACGCTCACAGGGACCACGCCTAATCTCATCCTCAAGGGCCAAATGGACGAGTAAGGCAAAAAACCCAACTCAACACACAAACAGAAATGATCTTCAAGGTGTGTCACTGCTCATTGAACCACTTGTATCTTCTCTTCACATCCCTTTGTTTTTCTTTCTGTGAAGGATCTTCCCTAACAATACTGACGTGATCAACTTTGCCAGCTGGTTTGGCTTTTGTTTTCCCAGCATGGTGCTCATGCTGGTGCTCGCCTGGTTCTGGCTTCATTTTATGTTCCTGGGCTTCAAGTAAGTATAATCAGCCAGAAACAAACCCAGGTATTTTAAACTATCCTCAGAAAAGCTGCTCAAACAGCACAAAATAAATTAATCTACACTGTAAGTAAAACTGACTTTTTTTTAGCATCTGCAGAGATATGCTATATCTTTTTGTTGCTCTCCTCAGTTTGAAGAAGTCATTTGGCTGTGGTGAGAAAAGTGAAAGCGACAGAGCGGCATACACAGTGATGAAAGTGGAGTACAAGAAGCTGGGACGTATCAAGTTTGCAGAGGTGGCGGTGCTCGTCCTCTTTATCTTGCTCGTGCTTCTGTGGTTTACCAGAGAGCCGGGCTTCATGCCTGGCTGGGCCACAGTGCTGTTCAATAAGGACGCTGCGTGAGTTCTTTTTTAAGCATGACCTTTAGATATAAATGAAGTGAAGCGCCACATATTACCAACAAAAAGACCAAACAGCTAGCCATGAACTGATCAATTCAACACATGCTTTCCTGCGCATTAAAATGTATGCAGCACTTGTGGTATCACCCAGTGGTTTATAAAGTCCTGCATTAATGCCTCGGAGGCAGGATGAGTCAACATATTTTACAAGGAAAGTCACACAAAGTCACCTTTTGTGCTGAATGCACTGAAGTCTACTGAGACACAAATAAAATAAAATAATAATATTAATAAAATAACAAAATAATTTTCAATAATTTTCAAGCTGTGATGTTTTGACATCACAGCTTTGTTTGTGATTCTGCAGCTAACACTTTTGCAATAAAATATAAAAAGTGACCTGATCTCTCTGCATTAAGATCTATAAAGTGATTGGACATTGAGCCAATTCAGCATTGTTAACCAAGGTAGCAAACATGAGCTGACAGATAAATACCTGGATGCTGCTTTAATCCTGCTCAGAGGGTCTGGGTGATTGGCTCTGACCCATTCTTATACAACATCCCCTAGTTTGTATTCATAAAAACATGCTTACATCACATAAAGTTAACAGATAATTTGTGATGGTGGAATGTCAATCACTAAAACTGGAGCACAGAATGAACAGGCATATATTTTATTAGATTTACATTAAATGATCCAAAAGCAACAGAAACGCAGGTGAGATGCTCACACGTTAGCCTCAGTTTAAACAGGTGCGTTATGAAGGAAAAACAAATGCCAGTACAGTTCTTTTTGTACCAGACAAACATTTTAAGCATTCATTATTTATTTCTGCTGTAAAGTCTACATGAAAAGCTGAAGTGCCCGTCTGAGTATCCGCAATTTGAGCACTTCTGAACTGGAGTAATATTTCTGCAGGAAATGTTCACAAGCGCAACAAAGTTGTAGCTAAAGTCCTCATTTTCTTTCTTTCTTTTTTATTAAACTTTCTTTTTTCTTTTTGTTAGTTTTTTATAAAAGAGAAAAATTGGTCAGACTGAAAAAAATGGCAAGATAAATGTATGTCAAATACAGTTACGTTGTTTTGCCCCACAGTTGACAGTAAATATGATGTTACACATTTTTCTCTTCATCATTTTTAAAAGGCAGCATATATAATCATGTTCTCTCGTGTCTGTCAGGTTTGTGACAGACGGAACGGTTGCCATCCTAATGTCATCGCTCTTCTTCGTCATCCCCTCTCAGCTGCCGTTTAGCAATTACGGATACACAAATGAAGGTGAAGTATTCATTTTTAACCTTGGTGTAATACACTGCTTCTAAAAATGTTCATGTGAACTCAGTTTGGGCTTACTGGAGCACTGGGTGAAGAATGCTTGGCAGGCTTGATGTTGCACTTTCAAACTAATTACTTGTTGATGTTTAAACTTCATCTGTTTCCCACAGGTAAGAGGATAAAGGCTCCACCGGCTCTGTTGACCTGGAATGTGGTTCATGAACGAATGCCCTGGAATATAGTGCTGCTGTTGGGAGGAGGTTTTGCTCTTGCTGCTGGCAGTGAGGTAAACACCCTTGGACTCCATGTCGTCATCTTTTATTATTTCATTCTCCCTTACAGAATATCTAAAAATAATTTTGGCAGTTAAATGCTAGTCTTGGTGATTACTGGATACTTAAATGCTTGAATCAGAAAATAAATACTGGTCTCTTGTTTGTTTTTGGTTATTGAATTTTGGAGGTTTTGTTAATATGCTTATTATTTGCACAAAAATTAATGACAATTCCATCTAGTAGAGGAGAGATTTCAGTCAAGGCCAAATTGGTAGACCGATAGCAGACATCCTCTGAGCCATGGTGGTAGCTTTTCTCAAATACTAAACATTTGTTTGTGTATTTTTCCTGCTACCTTTACAGGCATCAAATCTATCCAAGTGGTTGGGAGAAAACCTGTCACCTCTTCAGAATATTCCCCCCTTTGCTATCTCACTGGTGCTTTCCCTACTTATTGCCACATTCACCGAGTGCTCCAGTAACACAGCTACCACCACCCTGTTCCTGCCCATATTGGCGTCAATGGTAAATGGAGCTCATATGTTGACAGATGTGTGCGCACGTATGTTCTCCATGAATCTAACTGTGTTGTGTTTTGCGCTCCTTTAGGCCCAAAATATTAAGCTCCACCCACTCTATGTGATGCTGCCCTGCACTATTGCTGCCTCTCTGGCCTTCATGCTACCTGTGGCCACACCACCCAATGCCATTGCCTTTTCTTTTGGAAACCTCAAAGTCCTAGATATGGTAAGATTGGCATACATATGACATACAAACATATGCTGCCTTTGCGATTTTAGTTTATTTGAGCTAATAAGACTGTCTTTGATTGGCCTTGTTGGAGTGGGAAAAGCAATACAATTGTCCTTCTTGTCACTTCTCAAAGTTACAAGAGAGCTATCTGCTGCTAGTATCATCAATTTGCTCTTTAAAATCAGTGACTATTGAGCTGTATCATGACACTTAAATCAACCTCCATGTGTTGTAGCTCATCCATAAGTAAGTGGTATGTTATCCAGATGTGTGCCAGGCCTGGCGTAGCTGGCGCTGTTTATGTGATGCCATGCCATATCTGGCCTGATTGTGGTTTGGTATATGTGACCCAGGAGCATAAAAAACAGGCCTAGCCCCCGGATCTGGCATCAACCTGGCACGTCTGACTGACCGGTGTCATGGCAGGGTGTATGCCAACCAGATGTGGGCCAGGTCTGGCAATGATGGCACTGTTTATGTTCCTATTTTCCTATTTTCCTCCAGTCTGTATGTCAAGTTTGAATGTGTATTAATGTAGTTAGGAAGCACTCAGTTTAGAGAAAGTGTGTGTGATTTGGTGAATGTAGTATATTGTGTAGAGCACTTTGAGTAAGTGGAGTAGAAAAGCTCTATCAAAGATTGAGTCCATTCACTGTCTGAACAGAGTTACTTTTGCACTATTATGTTTCGGCACATGTTGTTATTACATGGCTTGATTAAGGTACACATTAGGCTGACATCTGGTGCCAGAGCTGAAACTGTTCTGGGCCAGCACAGGGCCAGCAGTGTGTCTGCAACTGGCCTGTGGCTGCACACAACTTATACATGGCCCACATACCGCAAAGAATGACGGCCCTTTGGTGGCCCAGATCTGGTTTGCCAGAGGTAATCCACACATGGGCCAGCACAAGGCCACTAGTGTGTCTGCAACTGGCCTTGTTCTGGCCAATGTGTGGGCCACCTCTGGCAAACCAGATCTGGGCCACCAAAGGGCCGTCATTCTTTGCGGTATGTGGGCCATGTGTAAGCACATTGTGTGGGCCAGATCTGGGCCATACCAATTTTGCTATGTGGGGTAATACAGATAAGATCTTGGTTAGTTGTGTTATTCGACAGACAAATATGCAAACTCACAGAGCATAATTTTGAATTTTTAATAAAATTCTAAAGTTTTAGCCTTCCTTTGTCATCATCTGATTATTACATTTTGTTCCTTCAGGTGAAAGCTGGTTTCATGCTCAACATCATCGGGATCCTGTGCATTAATTTAGCCATCAACACCTGGGGAAGAGCCATGTTTAACTTGGACACTTTTCCAGATTGGGCCAACACTACAAATAGTAAACCTTGAATTTGTTTACAGCCTGTAAAAAAACAAATCCAATTCTACAGTCACACAAGAAGACACTGAACAAAGTATCACATTTTCCAACTTCTGCTTCAAACCAATGAGGAAAAAGCTCAGAAATCCACTGTCTGAGATAAAACTTTTCTACCTTTAGCAGACAACAGTTTGTTGTTGTTGCAGGATACCATTACTCATGGTATCCTGCTCAGGAAAGCTACATACAACTCGTTCTCACTCCCGAGGCGTAACATGTCGACGTTTTGTCACGTCCCGCGGCGTTCCTGAGGAACGCGAAAGGAGACCTTCGGCGTTCTTATGGTATGCGGCGGGTTATGGCTGGAATCCAGTGCAATGACGCTCCCGCGGTAATAGACGTTCCAGCCCTGTATTCCAGCCGTAAACCTAACCTTATCCCTAGCCCTAACCATAACCTTATTTCTGATCTTAACCAGGACTATAAATAGAGTGTTTCTAAGCGATTTGAAGAAAAAGAGCGAACATGTGGAGTCCAGACGGTTCTCATATTTCCTCTTTTTTCCGAGGTCGTCATTTAGGAAGGTGGTAGGTAGCCGAAAACGTACTATGTTGACGATTTGTCACCTAGCGTAAAATGTTACGCTTTGGGAGTGAGAACGTGTTGCTACATAAGAATGTTTTCAGGCCCTTTAAAAACAAGAAGAAAAAAGTCATAGCAGAGTTTTTCCACTCTCACTGAAGACAAATAAGTTAAAGATTAAATGACAGTTTAAATTTGGTTATAGAAAGAGCAATCAAAGATTTTCACTTGCAGCTGAAACAAACTTTAAGCTCTATCAGACTATTATATACAGACCCTCTTTGAGGACTTCCTTACATCATTTCAGTGACAGAACCAAAGAAAGTGTTTAAACCAGGTTATTTCCTCATACACTTTTCAATGAATTTGTTATCTTATCAGTCTGTGTATCATTTACTGATAATGCATGCATTATCTGCAGCATAGCTACCTTTGAAAGGCAAAAATGAAAACTAATTCATGGTGTCAGTTAACTTATTACTGTGGTCATTTTGTTGGACTTTTTTTTTTGGGTGTCATATTTAATTTTATATGTGTTTTTGTCACAACTTCTTTTCATAAGGAGGAATTTTACTTATTTTATAATTTATAAATACCAATGTGACCTTTTTCTGGTTGTGATAGTCTTTTTTTTATTTATAATACTTTATATAATAATTCATATAATAATAATAATGGAAGTGCTCTAATTTCTTGCTAAGAAAACTGCAGGTTCAAATTTTGGTCAGACTCCCGGATGAGCCCCCAAATGTGTTATGGACAAAAAAGTAAAACGGAAACTTAGCAAAACCTATTTAGAAGCAGAATGTCAAAATCCACCTTACAGCAACTTACTTATTACATGTTACATCTTCTTTGTGTTGGCTATCTAAAGTGAGGTTGGGCATTTAATTTTCCCAAGTGGTCATATGAGAAACTGGAACTTTTGTGATAGGATACACCAATAACCTAAATCTAAAGTAATAGTGAGCAGAACTGATATCAACTGTTTATGCAGACTTCTACAACAGTCCCAGTTTCTTATGTGCTCCCTAGGAAACACAAATGACCCAACCCTGATCTGAAATGTAGAAAGTTCAACAGATTTTTGGTGAGCTGAAGTCATTTTTATTACCCTGCTAAAACACCCAATGAAATAAATGCATTACTTTTCATGCTTAAAAAAAAGCAGAGAAGCTAGATATACTGTAATGCAGGGGTCAGCAACCTTTCTGATGACAAGTGCCATCTAAAATTTCCTCAGAAGTCAATGTGCCATATGATTGCATTAGCAATAAATTTAATAATGATCTATATGAACAGTTACAAACTATATAGAACAACTTTATAGAATTATATTTCTTCTCAGATGTTGGCAGCTATCAGCGAATAGTTATCAGCTATTTTGAAACAAAAAAAGACTTTTTATCCATAACAAGAACTCCATAACAGCAAATGAACTGTACAACAGAAAATGCAAATGCTATTTATGGTCTCCTCACAACAATGATAAGAAAAATAAACAGGGCCAATATGGCATTTTTGTTAATACAGAGAAACACATGTTAATGTGACCTCTGGTCACCCACTCAGAGACACAGGTCTAGAAGTGTCCAGCATTCAGACCGCTACCTGAGGACACTCTTCATGTGAGAGAAAATCAGCTCACACAAATATGTAGAGCCAAATACTATCAATAAGGCCTCTGCAATGTTTTAAAGACAGTTAACCTTGTCAGGCAGTGATGTCCAGCAGGTGAAAATACAAGCATCATGAACACGCACAGCTATAGATTCCAGCTGCGTTCGTAGTCTGCAAACTTTGAACCCCACAGAGTCGAGCTTTTCTGTTCAATCAGTTTATTTCGATGCCCTCTGTGTCCAACCAGTTAATGTGAGACAAATCCAGCTGCTCATTAAAGCTTTTTGGTTTGATTAGAAAAGAAAACATTGGTCCATAGTCCCAAAAACGCATTCTGTCTCGAGTCTACGGATGTATCCGTGTATTTCCGCGGTGCTGATGCTGCGCTGACAGCTCCTGAAGCATTTGAAGTGTTGGAATGTGGAAATTTCAACATTACTTGAAAAAACTGCCAGCTAGCAACGTCCCTCTCACCATTAGGTTAAGTTATTTTTAGCCAATTACAAGTTGAATCTGGTAGTTGGGGTTGTTAGCTAAGATACTGTCATTAAGAAGCGGCACAACTATGCGAGCTAATTTGCGATGTGCACTGCTGGCCCAGCCATTAATTTTTAATTCACTGAGTGTCGTGCCCAGGGCTGGACTGGGACAAGAAATCGGCCCGGGCATTTTGACTAGAGATTGGCCCACCAGGTATTATAGGAAAAGCTATAAAGCCTTTGAATGAAAACAAATGCTGTTGTGACAGTGAAGTATACTGTCTTGTTGGTATATGTATGATTTCTATACATTTTACATCAGATAAAAACTTTGGTTTTAAGATTCAGATAATTATTTATTATAAGCTAGACATTTTAAATGAGAATAAGAAATAAAAGTATGTCTTTCTGCCCCCCCTCTCCCTGTTAATGCCCTACCTGGTCCCCTGGCAAAACTTTGCTAGATCCGCCCCTGCACAGTTACCAGCTGTCAGCTACATAAAAAAAGGATCCTGGTGTAATTTGTCTCTCAGAAACAGTTCATAACTTCCCTTCAACTCATTCATGTCACCTAAAAGGTAAACCTGTTTCTCCATCACCTGTTCAGCTCTGATGATTCAGTAAGGACATCTCCTGGTTTCATCTTCATGTTTCCCTCTCACCACATATCCAAACCGACATCATGACCAGCAGCTTTACAGCTGTGGCTCCAGCAAACATCAGCTGATACTAGAAAGTAATATTAAATAAATTCTAACAACAGCTGATCAAGCTTAAACGTGCTGCTGTTGTTTAGCGCGACATCCGCTGGTTTCCTCTTTCTGGCGCAAAGTGGGCGATAAACAAACAAGAGAGAAAAGCCGATCAGCTGATCATTGATCAGTTTCATGATTGAAGTAGCAACAGGAGAGAGGGAGAGAATGAGAGAAGAAGAGGCAGCTGACAGCGTAAAGACACAGAATAAATCCAGCTTTTTTCATTCTAGTTGAAGTACGGGACAAACTGTTCCTTTTCACCTCAACACAAAACGCGTAATATTTTCTCTGAATACGGGACTATTCCATTTTTTTACGGGACGGTTGGCAACTCTACTAACTAACCTTATGAATAAAATAAAGTTCACTATCAGTAACATCATAGCACCCACCCAGCTGTATAGAAACTCCGTCATGCTAGCTAATACGCAGTACAAGTTATTTTAACTGACTGTAAAACGTTAGTACAACGAAAATAAACTTCACCTAAACTTGGTTTATATCTGACCCCGCCTCGGGTCTCCTCTCCTCCTGCCTCCCCTTTCCCTCATCCACCCGCTGGCCTCTGTGGAAGCTCTGCCATAGCCACCACCAAACAACTGAGTTACCACCACTTTCATTGTTTATACCGTTACACCCCCCCCCCCCCCCCCCCCAAATTGGGCCATAGAAACGAAAAATCGCCCACTGGCCAGTCCCGCTATGGTCATGCCATCAGTTAACCCTTCGTGTGCCAGCTGTGGCACGCGTGCCCAGGGTTGCCAACCCCTGCTGTAGTATATTAATAAGTGAGCTTTATAGGGTCTGGTAGGCTAACCCTTACATTTTAAATGGAGCCAGACTCTGTTTCCCTCTGTTTCTACTCTCTAAGCTAACTGTATCCTGTATTCACCTTAACACTAAACAGAAGGATTAATTAAAGCAAATAGGATTTTTAAAAGCTTTCCCTTTGAAAGATTCACTCCAAGAAAGCGCACAAATAAATGGCAGGAAGGTGACTGTGCCCAGTCATTACAGATGAAAACGTTGGTTGGTTGGGTAACAGAGATAAGAGGCTGCCAACAGGATGTACCGGTCGCAGAGGTTAGTGTCCATGTTCTCTCCTTGTTTTTTGTTTTATACAAGAGAATGTGAAAAAATGAAGATGTTGAGGCAGAACATCCCAGCAGAGAAATGTGTACTTTTCCAAACTGAACAAGATTTCTGACCCACCCACTTCTATTCTGTAGAAATAAAGCACTACTTCAACAAAGTGTCACCTTCATTTACTCAACAGATAGACAGGCACACCCACACAAATAGCAGCCAAGACAGTGATATTTCAAAATCTTTTATTTTTACTTTTTTCAGTCACACCAACATTTGTATTGTCAAAAACTTCCCGAGTTCAAAATAATTTGCACGAGTCACAGTCATATATAAATCTGTTCTACATATCTGTATTACATTTTTTTTAAAATAACATTCATGTTAATTGGCTTAATCTCTGATTAAGTCAAATCTGAGTCCCCTCCTGTTCATTTCACAACTATTATAAATGTTTCATACTTTGTCTGTTGTGCAGGATGAAATCAACAAAGCAGTGCCAGTTTGAATCAATCCATGTCCACAATTTCCTCTGTTGATCTGAACACCCAGCAGGTACATTTGAGTAACTTTGATTCAGCTGGTCTGTTATTCATAGATTTGTGAGTGTTTGCAAATACGATGCAGTATCTGTCTAAATTAACTGCATTTTAAATTTAGACTCATTAAAATCATCAGTCACATAAACTAATATCAATCTCTAGTGCATCAAATTAGAGTGTGTGATGAGGGAAAGAAATGCAGGAAACTATGTGGTTGCTCTTGAGTCTCAGCACAAACAGACAAAAAGCACAGTGAGCATATTACAGTATGGAGCAATCCTGTGTTCGGATCACCATACTCGGGTCCAAATCGCTGGAATGTCTCTGAATGAAAACTATTTGACAGAAAATAAGATATTACAGGGAAAAAAACTGAGAAAGAGAAAATATCCGCATCACACAAGACATGACGAGAACGACTGCAGGAAGAAACAACAGAATGGAAGAGATTTAAGGGTGACCTGTTCTTTAAGTAACTGCTGCTACATTCCTTATCCTTTCTTTTTTTGCAGAACATTTCAGGGTGAACATGAACATTTGCTAACCCATGTTTTCCTTTTGGTCTCTTTTGAAACTTCTGAAACACATAATTTGCACCTCTCTAAAGTTTTCTTTATCACTTAAACAACGAAACATGGGGCTGGAAGTACAGTTGAATTTTCACAGATGACAAAGTACATTTCATATCAGCTCAGCTTGTCTTTATAAGTTTCCTGATTGTTGTAAAATGTTGCGCTTTGAGCAGATATAATAAACACAAGTCCTACTAAAACTAAAAGGAATAAAGGGACAGGGGGAGGGAATTATAAATACAAAATAACTACTTACTGCCTACTTTGTAGAATATGCACTAAACGGGTTTGGAAATCTATTTGAACTTTGCCAACCAGATGTTCATGTTATTGACATTTAAATCAATCATGCATCAAACTTATACACACAGACGATCATACAAAAGACACTAAAAGCAAGGGTAGACACACGCACATACAAACACACACACGCATACAAAACACACAGACTCACTGAATCTGAGAACAGATTTCCAAAAGACTGTTTTTAAGTCCTAAAAACACGTTTTCAGACGCGTTTCTAAACCCTAAAATGTAAATAATTTCTACCAATAA